ATATCCAAGGATCTTACTTTTTCCGTTTTGTATGTTGAGACCTACCGGTGCAAACACAACGGGTACTTAATTATTAAAATCTTTAATTAAGAAATAAGTATTTCTGACATATTTTATATCAGACCTTCAATGTCTGGAAACTTAGCACTTGTCAATAACTTTTTTGTATGAACAGTTGATATTTGTACTATTCACAGTAACTCAATTTAAAGTACAAACCTTTAAACAATAAATGGTCAGTTTTCATTATACGGTTGTGCAGATTGCTGAGTTTCATTGTACTCATGAACTGATCAATACAAGACCACCGTTATAAAACTGTAAGCAGTGTATAATTCATGTTTTCACTAAAACTCAACAATCTCCACAACCTTATGAAGAGAAATTATCATGCGCTCACTAGTGACTAGCATCGTGAGGGAATTCTCACAGTGGAGTTCAACCTTGTCGGATGTCAGGCAGTTGCTCACCAAAACCAATAAATTAGGTTGCGCATTATCGTAGATCGGTTTAATTTAAACCTTAACACCACTGAAGGTCGAGGTGGTTAAGTGTTAAGTGTTTGTAATCAAGACCGAAAGTCCTGTGTTCACTATTAGTCTACAGTGGTCATGGTTTCACACCACTGATAAGTCACATAGTTGGACGAAGCGTCTATCCACTGCTTGTGTGTTTCTAGTGATAGTCTAACACTGAACAGTACACGATTTCAATGAAAATAACTGATAAATCGGAATAAACAGTAATATTGAGTCCGTTCTGTCAGAATAAATATATGGTCATATACACTAATCAGTCTCTGTCTGTCATCAATCAGTCAATCTGTCAGCTACAGTGTAGAACTTTCTAAATGCTTACATTAATTCAAGTTGCCATACCATATTAGTGCACAGAGAAAGATGAAATCGCCGATTCAAATCCCATAGTGGCAGAGATAGTAGATGTATTAGCAGTGGCGAAGAAGACTAGGCTTCAAAGATATTATTCAAGAAGTATAATTCAGTGAAATACATTTTTTAAAAAGATATATGGAAAGGTTCTGAGTTCATGAGGTCATTAGAGAAGACAAATAATGGATGCATATGCGTCATCGTTAGCAGTCTGAAGCAATGTCATTCAAAGTGTCTAACCCCATGATTTCGATTGTCTTGTGGACCTCAACCAGTTAGTCTACACCCTTTGAATCTCTCATATAAGTAATCGAGGTGCTATAAACAATGTCTAACCATTCCATATCTTAAATAAAATGTAAAAAGAAACCTTTTTTTAAAATTCTTCCAACAATGTTCAACATAATTAAAACTACATTATGTCATTCCATATTTCACTTACGTAGTAGTTTGTACTTTAGTGGCTATAATTAAAATTGAAAAGGGGTGAACCATTTAACCTTCAAAAATTTTATTGATTTTAGAAAAGTACATGGATTGATATTGATGTCGAGAATTTAGTTGATAGCTTTCCTTAAATTCATGGAACTGTTGACTATAGAGGATATTCGAAATTTGTAATAATCGAAAATGTCAGTTCCAGTTTTGTGAAGAAACAATCGCGCTATGACATTTTGAAAAGTGTTCATTGTTTCAATAAAATACTACATTTTTGCATTGATTTAAGATTTGTCGACATTTTCTGTTGTTCGCGTGACGTTGAGTAAGATCGTGGATTGATTGAAGTCAGATATTCACACCGTTAGTTGCCGGTTCAGAAGTTAAACTTTCGTGTAGAAGACCGGAGGTCCTGGGTTCGATTCTTGCAAATAGTGGAAGTCGCAGAGGAACGCATGGCTGATGAATCCCATATCAGGATGAAACAACCATTCAATGCTTCTAGGTTTCTAATGGTTGTCTAACAATGATCGATGTACGACTTCAAAAGTAATTTTCTATTGTCAACCTACCTTTCTACTGAATAGATGTGCACAGTTGGATTCAATGTGATATTTTAAATTTTAAGAAGAGATTTTTTAGTTAAATTTTTAGTTCAATCCAGATTGTTGTTGACTTAGACCTGTCCTGAAAAAAATTATTTCATTTTGTCCTGATTCTTTATGGAATTCTAAATTTAGAGAGATGAAATTAATGCTCTAATTTTCAACATCGTGGACTGATTTTAGCGATTTCCGAAATTCTACTGAGAAGTCGTAACCAAGTCGGTATGTTAGGACGGCTGGCTGTTTATGGCCGCGAGTTTATTGAAAGTAGCAAGTATATTCACGCGATTGAGTATTACCAGAGTGGCCTTAGGGTTAAGCTCTTGCAATGAAACTGAAAACAATGTAGTCATAGGTGAGCATTACTGAGAAGCTCTCTACGATAATGGGTCAGCTGTCAAATGCTACACCTGGAGCTCCCCTTGAGATTACTGCCGGTCCCAAGAGCAGATAAAGCAGGAGGGGCGACCATGGGGTTAGCGACCCCATACAGTAGAAAACCGACTTCACTAAAAATCAGTTAACCAGTAAAAACGATTCAAGCCTTAAAAGTTTATTACATATGGATAGGCGTCGGTCATGAATAACCTTTTCATGTTGTTTGCCCACTATACAGTAAACTTTGACATTTCTTTTATTCTGAATGCGATTACCTAATAGTTATTTTATAGGTCGGATGAGAACTGACAGATAATTAGATGTACTGGTGATTTTTAGGAACGACTACTGAACTGCCATTTTATCTAGAAGTTACCAGCAGCGTACAGTCGTGTGCTATATCAAGTAGATATCTATCCATGGCGTTGAATGAAAGTCCTTACGTGTATTCTGGAGTAGGCGCTGTATACCATTGAATTTCAAGTCAATGACTTAGAGGTGATCCTTCTGAAGATTTTGAAATCTCAATTATCAATAATTCTATTTTAAAATGAGACAACTATCCGATACTTTCTGGTTTTCAATCATTCGCTAACTAAAACATTCACCACTGTTCAACATTCCCCTGCATTGATAACAAAAATGTAGAGATTCGAATATAGATCGAAACATTTTCACGACGATCAATGAATATGTGTTGATTTTAACATGGAATTTGACTTTGTTCCCTATTTAGCATGGCGTATTGGTACACAAATAAACTCTGGAAATCATGGAAAGAAAATGATTAGTGAAAATCTGTTAGTGTACAAATAATTCTAATCACAACAGTAAATTATCATGTAAATGAAACTTACACGAAATTGTTGTATTTGGTGGAGTTCTACCATTCAAAACAATGACAAGAGAAATAAATCGTAGATATTCAAAGCTGAACAGACTAAAGTGAGCAGATGCATGTGAAAAAAGATTAAAAAACACCTATACTACTGAGTCAAATTGACAGTAGTATCAATTAATTGGAAGAAAATTATCACTGTAAGGTTGTGGAGAGAGTCGGGATTCATGGAGATCATGCAATACTAATCCTTGTTAGTTCACCGCTGGACAGCCATATGCGATGGATAGCCGATTCGTCTCAGTATAGGACTAATCACTAGTGCGTATCTGTACCCGCACCAAAAGGAATTGAACCCAAGACTTAAGTTCTCACGTACATACACTTAACTGTGTAGTATCTGTCGGGAATCGATTCAAGTTAGACATTATTACCTTTGGATTCTGGTTCGTTGATCAGGAGGTTAAGCGTCTGAGCGCTAAGCCAAAGTTCCTATAATCAAGTCCCCTGTGATAAATAGTGCATAGGCTGTATTGAGGAGTTTGACACTAAGACGAAACAGCTGTCAATTCTATATGGCTTTCCGATGTTGTTCTAACATTTATCAGTTCATGATTTCATTAGACAGATAAGTCACTACATATACAGTTTCGAGGTATCTAGGTTGTAAAAAACAACATCAAACTATGCTGACAGAAATAGAAAACACTGAGTGAATAAAATTTTAAGTAACTGGAATCGGAATGACTACTAAGGAATTGCGAAAATGGAAGGCGTCAAAAGTGAGCAAGCATCCTCATAGAAAAATGTACGAGATACTGAGGAAGATTAAAAGTAATATGATCATAATGGTAAAATAAGTCATGTCACTATTATAACGTAAAAATTATTCATCATGATAGCAGAGACTGCATGACCTAAATTTATTTCACAAGTACACTAAACTACTGAATTTAAATAAGTAGTATAGTTTACTATACAAATTAAAACAGAATACATGCGTTATTAGGGGTGAACATAAAAGGCAATTATGTAAAACGTATTATTGAGAGAAAGATATAATGCTTGTCTCATGACCAATTCAAAATGATCCGTTGAATTCTAAATGTTTTAAGTGATACACTATTCAATTATGTTTTTTTCTGAATATTTTTTAATCGTTGGATAAAATGTTTACGTGTTTACAATGTACATCGATGCACAATACTACTACTACTACTACTGTGGTGTGAGCTACTTATAAGTAGTATATGACGCGAGTGTCAGCGTAATATCTGGCAGCAGAAGATGGGGGAAGATCAAGAAAGGAAGAGTTCGAACACAATGGAATTTGTATGAAACGCATGAATAGTGACAGTGAGTTGATGTTGTGCAACAGGAACAGTCTAGTTCGAGACGATGGACTGATATTTTGCAAGTGAACGATTTACAATATGGTTTTTCCTATTTTACTGAGTAACTCTGCGATTTTCGTTAATTACAATTCGGTCGCCCCACCTGTGTTCTCGTTCACTACACTACTACTACTACTACTACGACTACTACTACTACTACTACTACTACTATTACTACTACTACTACTACTACTAATACTACTACTAATACTACTACTACTACTACCTATACTTCTACCACTTATAATAATAATAATAATAATAATGATTTCGGTAAGCATTTCACTCATTATAAGTTAGTCGAAAACTGAAGTATCAATCATCATGTAAACTGTAGCATAGTTTTAGAACAAACCCTGTTAGATTAAAAAAGCAAGTGATTGACAGAAAATAAATCAATAATTTTTTTGAATAACACAAGTGCACTTTCATGCAATCTAGTAGCATAATTTCCATTGGTAAATCAATCGACATGTTGACAGAAAAATGATACACTTCGAGTTCAAAAAGTTACTTTACGTAAATGAAATTAACAGGACTTTAAACACTGCATCTTCGAGCATTCGCTCTTCCTATCCAATTGCTCTTATTTTCGGTGGAAGTTAGATCCCCAAAACTCAGTTGCTTAAGGTCTTAATTTTGGATTTTGTGTTTTCGTGCATAGGCTGATCAGTTAACCTTGAGATCACATTTCTCACCAGGAAAATCCTTGGCTGTGTAATTGGTTGATGTATTATTTTAGTATGCTATTTTTATGGCTCTCCCAAGGACGTTTCTGTGATGCATAAATGAACTCGAATTTTGTGCCTGTCAACCTCGATTTTCTGGGTGCTTGTAGAATATGATTTCTACGCCATATCGAAACCTTTTGTTATCGTTAGTGGGGCCTTGGGACGATCGGATTAGAGTAGCGCATCGTGTCACTGAATCATTTGTCTTCGTTCTCGTTTACCGACTAGGGTGAACTCTTAATAGTTTCAAGCATATCAACTGGTGACGACCATAACACTTATATAATTACGTGTATTTAGCCACTGAGTTTTTGTGGTCGGAGATATAGTTTACAAAAGTGAGTG